TATACATACATATATATATATATATATATACATATATATATTATGTATATAAATAAATACTTAATTTCAAACCTATCATTAATGATCAAGAATATTATCATTAATGCATTAATTATTCGATAATTTATATTGCGAGAAATTTATACTCATTTTTTTATATTTGTTGAGAAGTTTGTTAAGAATTCTTGGCATAAGAATAGCCAATAAGAATAAAAATAAAAATAATAAAAAATTCAGAAAATTCGGAAAAAATATACAGAATCCTTATTCAATAAAAACAACAGTTCAACATGACAGAGATTTCCTTAATTTTTATACTAAGCATTACTGATATAATTAGAAAATGTATGTGTAGCATTAATCTATAACTGATATAATTAGAAAATATATGTGTAACTTTTATCTATTGCGACTGGCGCTATTAGATAATGATATGCGTTACAGTAAGCAACTTCCACTTCCTTTACCTTTTTGTATATAAAAAATTAATATCGAGGCATCGTTGGTCAGAAATCGGTTTCTCGATCGCAACAGATTTTGGAATCAAAGTATGTACATATAACATGTAATAATGGCAACGGCGAAGTTCAAAGAGACATCTCCCTATGTCAAACCGAAGCCTTCGCCACCAAAGGATGATTATCTGTATAAGAAGTAAGTAATTAGTTCAATATCATTACACAATATAAATTCGCATCGGCGCGATGTGCATTGTAAAATAAATGTTATACTCGATTGACGAAAATGTGTTCAATGAAAAAATTGCTAATTGAAAAACGTTTACTTTTATATTCCTAAAATTTTATTTCTATTCTTAATTAAAAACCGACATGAGAAATGTCTACGCGCAATAAAATTCATATAGGTACACACATGTTGTAAGTAACTTATGAGGAGAAACAGCAAAACTTCAGCAAAACTTCAATAAAGCTATTATTACATCCGTATAATATTATTTTTTTTATGTCATTCTTATAAATTTTAAATCTATATATGTATGTGTGTGTGTGTGTGTGTGTGTGTATGTATGTATAATATATATATATATATATATATACACACGCACATACTTTGTATTTTTTGTTTATAAATAAAACAAATTACCAAATTATCATATAAAAAGTGAGACTTCTATGAACGTTATTCATTTAAAATCTCTATGTATGTCTCTCTTTCACTCAATATCTGAATATCTGAGTATCCGAGATAGATATATAATATATATAGATATATAATAAATGTTTGTAAACGTGATTTTCCTTTTTTTCTCTCCCTTTTTGAATTTTTTATCTAAAATTACAATATCACAAAATAAATAGATATTTTTTAAAATGCAATTTGAGAAATAAAATAATATATAGCTGCGATACATCTACATAAAAGTATGAATTATATAATGTGTACACATTATCCTTTTTGCTCAAATAATAAAAAATTTAGCTAATAAATAAATCAAGCCGTATTGTTTTTTTTGTATAAAAAAATTATTAAAATGTATCAAATACTTCTTATAAAAAAATAGCAGCAGTATAAAATCGACATTATTTATAAATTGAGTACACACCTGTGTATATAGAAGACACTCCTTCATATAACTGCTATCACAACAAATATCTTGTGAAAAATGCAAAATTTTTTTATTCGCGAGTTATTGTCATTTTATGTAAAAAGTCAGCGTTTTTCTTCGGTAAATAATGAGAAACTGAGTTTGAATCGAATCCAACATTAAATTCAAGTCTCTAAATCATTATTAAACAATAAAGCGCATTCTGTCTATCACATTTCATACTCGAGATTTATAAGAGTTTAATACTATATATATATATATATATATATACACATTTGTCCATATTTATCACTTAAATGAAAAATTGCAAAGAATACCACAAAAGATGTACATATTTTTCGAGATGTGTAGAAAAATCTTATCGCTTACTATCTTATCGCTGATTCTCTTCAGCAAAATTATGTATACACAAGTTTTATTTTTGTATGAATTCCAAATAAAACCTTGATATATTTAATCGTATTTTCGCAAATATCTATACTGCAATTAATTATGTTAAATATTAGTAACATATGAGTAACAATTTAATTGTTCTTTTAACTTTGCTATATAGCGTAGTATAGTGCATATATAAATATATATACTATTTGGAAATAATGCAATTAGACATTACACACACGTGTAAGAAAATATACAAAAAAGTATACTTTAAATATAATTTCTTTTCAATTTAACTAGAACTTCTGTATAATTTATGCATTTTTATAAGATTCACTCTGAGCGATGTGCATATTCTCCAACGTTTTTCAACGTTTTTCAATTTGTTTCTGAGCTAAAAGTTTTTTACATCATAACTATTGATCAATGCATCAAATTTTCATTTATTGAAGATATATATTGCAGTCTTCTTCTTCGTTTTGTGAATCAGCTGAAACTTCAAAATACGATATTCTTTTCTGGAGCCGCTCTTTCATTTATGTAATTGTACATATTAGATAGACAGCAAATAACGAACAACATGCAAACGTTTATTTTAATAATGTTGAAATAAATGTATATTAAAACAAAAGCGGAGAAGTTCGATATTAAACAACATTTGATACCAACGATGTCACAAAATGGAGAATTAACTTAATTAAAAGTAAGTACCAAGCAGCGATTAGACGATGCTTAAACTTAAAAATTACTTTGAACATTGTTTCTCCTTCATATTTTTAATGCCCAGCATATACACTTTCGCTCCATGCTTATTCCTTTGTTTATAGTAACTCGCATAATAACACTTAAATCGCACGCAATAATTTTTTAACATTCAAAATTTTAATAATTTAAACAATGCAGTGATAGCCAGCGTTTTATCCTCGTTAAATCTACTCAATTCCGCAATGACGCGCCCTAATAAAATCCAGAGCCTCCAGTTTCTTGACTGTGGCTTCTATGAACGGATCATGCGGATAAATTGTAGTTTCTAAAGTGGCTTTGATGACCCTTGATTACTGCTGTTCGTCTAACAAATTTCCATAAAAACATTTATCATCGACGAGAAAAATTATCGTAGAAAAAATAATGTTCGTTAAAAAAAAAGTAAATTGTCATAAGTTATAAATAACGATTATACAACTTAGATATTTATAACTTTAAGTTACTCAAAAACAAAAATTTAATAATTTAAATTTATTTAAAGAACAGGCGATGGCAGAAATATACTAAAATAGACCAGGCAAAGAGAAAAGTGTAAAAATAGTATTTTTTTAATAGATAAAGTGAAAAAAAGGACAAAAGGACTAAGAGGACAGCCTGGGCTGATACGTACTTACCATGCTGCCACTGTTTCTTAGCATCCCTCGAAAGCTCGCTGGAGATCTCTGTCATCTAAGAATTCATCACTGTTTCCATTGCACACGCTGATAAATGCACACTTGTTGTAGAAATAATTGTTAATAAATTATTATTTGCTAATATTGTTTATTCTAACGTTCTTTAATTATAATTAATTTTTTATGTATATATAAGAGATTATATGATATTAATATTATATATCATAATAATAAGACTTTTTATACACACACACACACACACACACACACACACACACACACACAAGTTTTATTAATTAAAAATAAATTTCAATAAGAAAAAGAAGTGCATCTTCTGTCAGAAAAAGAGTTTTGGTGTCCATAATTTCGATTTGCAAGACATTCTTCTTTAAGTCGCAAAATTGATGCATATTCAAGTTCAGCAGCATGTCCATAGACTGTTCCTTAAGGACGCTGAAGGATGTTGTCAGATGGTCATTGCTGATCTGTACTTGTGGAGGACTATAAAGTCGATTGAGAGTAAAGTCCAAAAGATTAAAAATTTAGAATTAGCTATCAATTATGGAAGAAATCTGGCAGCAGGAACTGTCTAAATACATCCATCCATCGATGGCTACGATCGCGTGGTGTGATGCGGCGCATTACCGAAAGAATGACCGTCGAGCTTAAAACTATAGAGGATTTCTCAGGAGTAATCTACACACAGAGTAACTTTTATTCCTAAGAACCGTTCTTTCTCCTAGATCTAGTTCGCGGTAGAAGCTTCACCATTAACATTCCTTTGAACAAATGTGACCCTGAAAGGGTACGTTATTTAAACTTTTGTTTGTCCTATTAATTTCTTCTTCTCGAAACTATTATTTATTAGCTTTATGAGCAAAACAAATTATTTAAGTAGAAAGAAAACGTGATTCTCTCTTTCTTCCGAAACCTTTCATTTTCTTTTAAATTATATCTTTCTAAAGAGTGACAAGCTACCATACAATTTTTTTACAATTTTCTAAATCGTGACATTTTCTTGATCGTGAATCATTATACATTATAAATGATATAACGACGAAATATCATAGCTGGTAAAAGAAAGTATAACTTGTACATCACATTTTCAAATATAAATTATCTTGTGATATTTTTTAATTTCTACAATTTCTCTCATATTTTTACTTGTTAATCTAAATAAATAATAAAACAGGAAATTCAACTTTTATAAAGGATTTTTTAAAATTATTTCTTTTAATGTTTTATAATTCTTTAACGGTATATATTACAATTACTTTCTATCTCTATTAGAGAAATTACTCGCAAGATAGATTAGAGAGCTTTAATCATAGATGGGACTATAGATTGCATCTATGGGAGTAAACATACTGAATAAACATTGCCTTATCATCTAATTATTTTTCGAAAATATTTACGAAAATTTCCAATTAGTAGAGTGTCTAAAAAATAAAACTTTAGAATATCTTTAAAAAACATCTTAACGATATATTTCGTAAAAAATTCTGAAAGATATCTTAAAATTGTCTTATGCATCGATTTTAGATATTTTGCTCATTGAGTTATATCGATCAATAATCACACACAAATCTTCATTTGAAAAATTCTGTCGTTTTTTTATTAAAAAAATGTTATAGTTATAAATAATGTTACGATATTATAAATAAAATTGTAGTTTCTCGCTGGCACAGTCGGTGATGTTCTCTCACAAAGTTATTTTTGATATTAAACAAGAGTAGCAAGTGCAATCGTTAAGCGAAAAATATGATTAATATATGATTAATATATTTCGTGATAAACCGGTATTTAATTAAAAAAAAAAAATCTAAATCAATTAAATTAATTAATGCCCATTTCAATCAATGTTGAATTTAAATTAAAATTAAACTACAATAAAAAAAGTATAGTAAAAAAAAAGTATAGATCTTTCAAAAGACATATCTAGCGTTTGCCGAACATAATCGTTGCATGATAAAAACATATTTGTATCTTAATTGATTTTAAAATGAGTAGGAAGTCGGGGATGCCGTTTTATTAAATCTTACCGACGAACATTCTCGATTGAAAACTCACGATGGATTCTACGTGAAATTGTTGTTGCTGCTTGTTATTTAATTTACGTTGTTTAAATAAATTATGTAATTTATTCGAATGGATTTCTCATTGCTATATTATATATCTTAATCTACAGCAGCAGAATGTATGCATCTTACGTGCGACTTTTTACAATCTATTTTTATTCCAAAAATGTGATATGTAATGCGATAATTTTGTCGATAACCCCTTGTCCCTTCTATGATATTACATATTGGAAATTTTCAACTTACTTATTACACAAAGTAAACAATTTTAACAGATATTTCAGGTCAATTTTAAAAATCGATTTAAAAGTCGATTTAAAAGTCTCGAAAACTAGAAGTATATCTAATTGTTATGACACAGTTTTTACGATAAAAGTTATGATATGGATGAATGATTAGCGTAATTGCAGAGATAACAAAGTTCTCCGTTCATTACGTATTACAGGTCACCATTTTAAGAAATGAAAGGATATCGCATGATGATTATGCAAAAACACGAACAAACATAACAGCAAAATCTAATCGCGGCTATATCGCGAAAATATGTATAAATCACTCATAGCCAAGTCAACGTTATGCTCAACTTATTAGAATGATCAACGTATCGAATATACTGGAATATTCCATTTAAGTCTTCTCTATCGCCGCTTTATTGACTCCTCTATCTTTCTATCTTTCTTTCTGAAAGAGTGCATCGCAATACTGAACTCTTCTCATTGTGGCTCGTGACTTAATTTAATAAATGGGTAAAATCTTCCTGAAGCATCTCTTGCGGCCAAGTGTCGTTTATGTAACGCTTTTGTAGCAGCAAAGCACGTTAATAAATAATTAGTAGAAACTCCATAAATTTTAAGACAATACACCGGTTTAATTATTTCGAAAGACAAGCAATTTTATATATATATAAATACTTAATTTCAAACTTATCATTAATGCTCAAGAATATTATCATTAATGCATTAATTATTCGATAATTTATGTTGCAAAAAATTTATACTCATTTTTTTGTATTTGTTGAGAAGTTTGTTAAGAATTATTGGCAAAAGAATAGCCAGAAAGAATAAAAATAAAAAATGGTAAAAAATTCAGAAAATTCGAAAGAAATATACAAAACTCTTATTCAATAAAAACAACAGCTCAGCATGACAGAGATTTTCTTAATTTTTATACTACTTATTACTGATATAATTAGAAAATGTATGTGTAGCTTTTATTTATTACTGATATAATTAGAAAATATATGTGTACCTTATATCTATTACGTGACTAACGCTATTGGATAATGATATGCGTCACAGTAAGCAACTCCCACTTCCATTTATCTTTTCGTATATAAGAAGCTATTATCGAGGCATCGTTGGCCAGAAACCGGTCTCTCAATCACGACAGATTTTGGAGAATCAAAATATATTCATATAACTTGTAATAATGGCAACGGCGAAATTCAAGGACACATCTCCCTACGTCAAACCGAAGCCTTCGCCACCTGAGGATGATTACCTGTATAAGAAGTGAGTAATTAGTTCAATATCATTACACAATATAAATTCGCATCGGAGTGATATGCATTGTAAAATAAATATTATACTTGATTGATGGAAGTTATCCTTAGCTTATTGAAGAACATTTACCTTTATATTCCTAAAATTTTATTTCTATTCTTAATTTAAAATCGATACAAGAAATGTCTATGTGCAACAAAATTCATATGGGCTTTAAATGAACAAATTCTCAATTAATTTTATAAATGACTATTATGTAGGTGAACAATTGGTGCAGTTTTTCACTTTAGACTTTCGAGACCAAAAATTTCAATTATATTTTTTCAAGATTTTATGTTTCTTTACTTCCAATATTTTTTTACTAATGACTCTTCTACTAATGTAGAATTTATATAAATTAATATTAAAATATATATTAAAAGTAAGTTAAACTGATTAATATTTAATCTCAATTTAATTTAGTTTTTTTATCTCTTTCTAATCTCTTTTTAATTTTGAAAAAAATGAAGAGTAAATTAAACTGTTAAATCTTTTAAGAGATTAAAATTATTCGACACTGGTAGAAATGGACATTAGAGAAATATCTTTTGCAGATATTTAGAACACTTTGCCCTGAAAGCGGTGAACGAACCTATAGTTAAAGTGGCTCTGTTCGGCGTGGGTCGTGCCGGGACGATACATTTAGCAACTATGAATTCTAATAAACGTGTCCAACTTTTATATATCGTTGATGATGTCGAGAGTAATTGGCCAAGTTTGCGAAAGTACTGGCATCTGGACAACGTTACCTTCTTAAATAGCAAGCAGTCTGATAAAGTATTCAAAGATCCCAAGTAAGTAGCTACACTGATAAAAAAATATATCCTAAATTTCAATAAATATTTACTTAAATAGAATCGATTAAATATTTATTAAACATAAAAATATATTTATTTGATATAAATTATAATTATTATATCATTTAATTTATATTATATCATTTATAATATATAATTTATATTATTCATATAAATTTATATTATAACAGATACTTAATTTTTTATTTTAATTTAAGTTTATTTAAGTTCATTATTCGACAGCGTTTTCTTAATTGATATATACTGAGAAATTATTATTAATAAATATTTATTTGAATATTATCTACTAAACATTTACTTATAATAAATAAATATTTACTTAATAAAAAGAAGTGATTGTTAAATCAAATTAATATTTTTTGTACCAAATAAATATATTTTTATGTTTAATAAATATTTAATCGATCCTATTCAAGTAAATATAAATTACACAATTTCTATATCTAGACAATATAAATCTGTAATACAAATGTATTTGTACAATCAAACAAATAATGCCTGCTTTTCACATTTGTAAAGCGTCGATGCGGTTTTCGTGGCGTCGCCGACTTACACACACGAAGGTATAGTTATTAAAGCTCTGGAAGCAAAAAAGGCAGTGTTCTGTGAAAAACCTATAGCAGAGGATCGCCCAAATACCGTTAAATGCTACGAGAT